CTAGATCCACCCGCACATCTAAACGCGCCCTCGTATACACTCTGTGAGAGGTGCAACGATACAAATTTCCCGCGACATATTCGCCAAGTCCTCGGAAGCCACGGAATCGAAGTAGGTCAAAGACGAGCTGACATCCGCTGCCAGTTGTGTGACGTGAGCCTCGTGGCTTATAAATGGATAATAGAGTGCGTAGAGTGCATAGGACAACACACGTACGTTATAGATAGGGTTAACTACGAAGGCGTGCGTAACCTCGACGACCCCACAGTGTTTATTTTCTCCGGAGACCGCGTTTAAAACCGGTCCCGTCGTATCTCCTTTCCCACGTTTTCGTGAACGACTCCCTTGCCGCGGGCGATCCCGGGTTTTTACCCAAAACAGCGGTAATTCCCAGTCAATGGTCCGAGAACTAAAGTTCTTTTAATTTTTTTTAGCCGCGACCGACCGGGACGTAACAGTCTTTTTCCGGCGCGGTAAAAGTGCACGCGGCTACCACGTGCCCGCGCCGGAGACACCTGTGGCACTGGAGGGGCCGCCTTTTCAGTATCTCTATGGGTGCACGTACCCAGCCGACCCTGTGCGTCTTGGCCTCGACAACCTTTCGGGCCGCGGTCAGTGGGCACTGCACCCATGCTGTGGACAGCCCACCGGGGGAGGCACGAGGTTGGCTGACCTTAACCTTAGTCGACCGGCAGCCCCTGGCGGACGCCACAGCTTCTTTGATCTCCTCGGGGGGATCGACTCGTCGAGACCTCGGACACGTAATTCAACGGTCTTCGTTTGTCTCGCGAGTCGTCCCTCCTTCTCGGACACCAAGGGGAGCATCGCGGTGTACAACATTTCCGCCTTGGTGTCGCTATTCTTACCGGAGACTTCTAGGATTATGGCTTTGGTGAGTGCTCGTCTTGGGCGGAGGCCTTGAATACCGAGGGGTTCGAGAGACACCCTTTCTCGGACGTATTTTAAGACCTCCGCCAAGAAGCCTTCCGCTGCTTCCTCCGGGACTGAAAGCACCACCGCCGCAGAGCGAGGTGGTTTCCCCAGCTTCAGCTTGGGAGGGGTGGCCTTGGCCGCACCCGCTCCCGGTTTGGTCGGTCCTTTTCCTCCTTTGGTGCCACCGGACTTGGCCGAAGCGGGGGTTTGGGGGCCGGCTTCTTCCATGTAAACAGAACGTATGAATAAAATGGACGACAACCCACCACCAACACACCTCACCTCACGAGGAAAGGAGCAGCAGCAACGGGCGATAGCTGCCATTACTAAACGAGACTTCACAAGACCAAGATGTACCTGCTGGCAACGATATTTATCATTGCCTATACGGTTTACGTAGCAACAACTCTTGTAGGCTACGACTGCGAAAGACACGGACTGAATATTACTACGCTATTACTCTCCGTCATCGGAACGTGCGAGCTTGACAACATTGAGCCCGAAAAACAAAAGACTTACTTGCAGTTAATGCACTTATCGGATTTTGACAAAACCTAGGCAACTGAGTGCTTCATCGAGATTGACCGCACCATCTTCTATTGCGGAATGCATTTACACACGAGCATAGTACAGAACAGGCGAAAAGAGTACATATAGGAGATCGGTCCTAGTGGTTGTCAAAATCTACAGGCTACAGGATCCATTACCTTAGGCAACTCCATCATTACTGGCATCCAGAAGACCAAACCAACACAAGAGGAGTCATCTTAACCGGTACCACATTCGTAGATAGACGGTGCAAAGGCACACAGTATAGTGACGCCTACAGAACCTAGGAGAATGGTGTAGTACAAGCCTCTGTTAAAATCACGGTACGAGCGCTCGACGGTGCAAAGAACAACTAATCAGGTGATTCTCCTCTCCGGAATCTATTGCGCTGTATCAAAAGAATATTGCCTGGATGTAGACGGGAGTGAAACCTTTTGGACACCTTTTACACCTTGGACACCGGTGGACAGCTGTCAATTTGACCGGTACGACATCCTGTACAAGAGCCTTGCCACAAGATTAACTTCAAAGCCGGCACAAGAAACGCCGACAATTTTCACCGTCACGACTAAAGACACCACGTTCGCTTTTACCAAAACAGCCGAGGTGAATGTTTGCGGTTACAGACTTGCACAAACCGAACATTCAAAATTATTCATCTTGGAAACTTACCTTAGGAAGAAGCTTTAAAACACGGACTAAAATAGCAGTCGACAACTTAGACATTTTCTCGTATGTAAATTTAAAATTTATCTATGTAGAAAAACACATAAGAACTTAGCTAACGCTCTATATTAAGATATAATGAAATAAAAGTGCGCTCTGGAAAGGTAAGTACTTCAAAACGCGCTTTCACTCTCGAACGTCGTCTCCGATAAAATGGCATATCGAATAATGAAGTCACCCGGATATACAGCAGTCACTTCCGGAGAAGTGATACAGTTAACTTTTAGCGTTTCGCACGTTTTTGTATTATTGTCTACCAGCAACTCTGGCACATTTTTGGAGCGGGACGAGTGAGAAGAAGTCTTATTTTAAGTGAGAAGAATTACACGTGCTTGTGAATATTTTTGATTTTGTTTATTTTATACATATGCACTTTCTTTTTGTAAATAACAATTATTAATATAACAATTGCCAACGCCGACGATTGCGTAACATCTTAAGCGTAATCATGCTAAAAACATGGCTCCGCAGCGGAGCCTACGGAGTTACGGAACAAATGACGGATGGCTCCGTAGCGGAGCCAACGGAGCGCTAAGGGTTACTAAAATGCATCCCAGTAGAATGTTGCATGCGACATAAAAACGGATGCTACAATGAACTACCGGTGTATTACCGGAATGCATCGCTATTCCTGCTACCAAAGTCACAAATCTTCGTAAAAACTACAGCAAACTCTTACCTCCAATGTATGACATTCACGGGACATGGTTCCGCTTGACACTGAAACCAGTGGAATCGTTACCACCGTTATACAACCATTGACACGGCCTACGTGAAAGTACGTGAGCCCCTCGTCACTAGCCACCAGCGAAATATACCCAACAAGCGCTCTTGATCGAGTAATGAACTACATTATGTTCCCGGTCGAGAAGCCGTCAATGCTGAACACACTTGCACGCGGAGCAATGGGACAATCTGTCCTCTAGATAGTGTCTCAATGTTAAATTTACTGGACAAAGATTTGTTGAACCACATCGCCGAAAACGTTAAGCATAGACATTGGGAAGACTTTATGACTTTTGGGTCAGCAAGCGCTGGCGTCCTAGCAATAATACTCATCTTCCGATTAGCCAAGTTGGTTATCGACACCGTCATCCATGGATACGTACTCTACTCGGTGTACGGATGGATTTTTCATCTTGGAGCGGTAGTATATTTTCTGTCTCTCAGATCTTGCTCACAGCTTGTCGCTGCTATTCCCACTCCATATCTATAAGCTCTATGGTTACAACATGAATTTCAAGAGAAGGCTACCTCAGCGTAGTTGCTACGTGCTTTGTCAATTAGTACGGCAAGTTTTTGCACTTTAGCCAATCAGGTTGTTTGTCACGAAGCGATCAGCCAATCAGTAGTTTTTACTTACTTTGACCGACTTCCTGGACGAATTTTGAAGAAAGAAACAATAGACGTGACTCGTGAAAGTCCAGAGAACTAGAACTAACAAAAAACCGTTTTGACCAATTAGACTTTACGAGTTTTGAAGCAACTTCCCGGTCGACTTTTAGGAAAAGAATTACTTATCATCCTCTTTTGTTTCTTCTCACTCCTACTTCTTGCCCTTCACATTTCCTGTCTAATTTTTTTTTCATCTCTTGCCACACTTTCACGTTTTTTCTTTTTCCTGCGTCTCCTTCTTTACCTTTTGTCTTCTTTTCTATTGATCACAGCATCGTTTTCTTTTTAGTTTCATCTTTTGTTTTCCTTTTTTGTCTTCCTTGTTTCTCTTCTAACATCACCAAACTATCACTAGATCATAATCTGAGTTTTTTTGTCCATCACTTGTATTCTCTATCATTATTCTCTTTTATATCAGTGTCTCAAATTGACCATCTTAGCTCCTCAATAGTACGTATTAGCAATCCCCTCTTTTTTTTTACTTTTATGTTTCGTGTATTTCTTATTCCTTCTTCTTCCTTTCCTCCTTGCCTTTTTATTTTCCTGTCTCACTTATTTTAGCATTAAAATTTCTTCCCATTATTTTTTTCTAGTTTTGTCTTCTCCTCTATCCAATCCTACAAGTCTACCATTTGTCTCTCTATTTTATCAATCACGTATACTCCTATTATAGTACAGCATTTTTTTCTGATTTCACTTTACTTATCATTATACTTTCTTTCCTTTTCTCTTTTTCTTCTTTCTCCATCTCTCTCTTTCTTCTTACTCCCATTATCATCCCTCTTATTGCTGTCCCGTTTATACTTTTTTTTTTACCCATTGCACTACCCAACTATATCTTTCCGTCAGAATCTTTTTTAGTTTCTACCATTTTTTAGTATTTCTCCAGGGTGATACTCTATTGACCACAGTACGATACGACACCGCTCGATTCGACACAGATTTATTCGACAC